TCACGATCACAGGAACTAATATCACTGTTGACTTGGTCTGTAAGTAGATAACCAGTCAGTTACTTTCATTTTCTTTTTTGCATTAATCTGCATTTCTTTTACTCGTGGTTCAATACGTGCGGTATTTGAGTAATCACTTCATGCGTTTTTAATGCTGGAGAGCGTTGTTCACCTGTAGCTGCAACATAAATCGAATTGCTTTTCTTTAAAATGCCCAAATGTGCTGATCGGATGTGATGTACTTTCTACCAGGGTTCGTAATGTACGTTTACATACGTTTTTTAATGTGCTACAACACTAAAAAATACTTATCATAAGTGTACAGTAGTTTCAGGGGTGTAAAGCCATTATAGAGCTGTCTGGCCCAATTCGATTAAGGACTGCGAGCTCTTGAGTAAATTGTATTATGGGAAAAAAAGGGGTCTATTTAGTGGTATTCTGTTGATTTCATGCACCATGTCTGCTTAAGAGTTTGTATGTTCTCCCAGTGTTCGCTTGGATTTCCTCACACTGACCAAAGACTTACTGCTCGGCAGTAGCTCGGCAGTGTCGGTTCATTTCTTACTGGGAGGTTAACAGGCTTCTGGGAAATTTGGCCCTGGCGTGAGTGTGTGTGTCCCTGCGATGGACTGGTGTCCCTTCCAGGGTGTATCCGGCCCCGTTGCTTGTTGGGAGAGACTTCCATTCCCTGCAACCCTGAATTGGAAGAAGCAGTTAGAAAACGGAGGGATGCTTTTTGCGATGGACTAAAATAAGATGCCGTAAAAGCGTGTGGATTTGCCTTCTTCGTAAGAGGTTACGGCTGAACCAGGAGGTACTGAACTTCTTCCCTTCGTCCCCACTACCCTCTCCCCGCCGTGTGCCAGCAGCCCAGTCCTCTCCGCCGGGACGAGCGCCCCGTCAGCTGCTACCAGCCCGGCGCCAACCAGCTGCAGCCCAACATCGCTGCCCTGGCGCGCGACGCTGCCAACCTGGTGAAGGACAAGCAGAGGGGCTTCATCCCCAGCCTGGTCAACAACGAGACCTACGGCGCCGTCCTGAGCTCCAGCCCGCCTGCCGGCCAGGCTCCGGGCCTGGGGACCACCGCCGCCCCCCCGCTGCCTCCCCGCAACATAGGCAAAGGTAAGGAGTGGGAATGCTGGGGCCTGACGGAGAACCTGACCACTCCTAATGCAGTGCCGTGCGGTAGACTTGTGGGGAACACTTGCAGCCAAATGGAACGCTTAGAATCGACTGTGAGGTCACAAAGGAAGTTCAAAAGCGCATTGAGGTGTGTCAGGCAGCGTAATTAAACTACTGCATGTCTGCGTGATCAAAAGCCAGGGCACCTGCTTTTCAAAAATCCTTGTTCCTTCAGAGGTGCATTTCTCTTGCTTCTCCGTATGTAAATTCAGGAGCGGGAGGATTAATTTCTCGCACAGGCACGTGTTACGGGACGCTCAGCTGGCGTAGCTGGGCAGTGTCAGTTCATTTCTTCAAAGCTGCTTGGAAGTGGGGGAGAAAAGGAAGAGCTGGTCTGTCCAGAAACGCACATGGAGGGGGGCGCCTGGCTTCTCAAGAGCCCCGCTGTCTCGCACGCTCGTCCACGCCATCGCTGGCTGGCGATGGCATTCGTAACGTGCCAGCCAGGGCTTTTGTAATCGGGGCTGATGAAAACCAGGACGGCGGGAGGTGATTAACCGCCAGGCCTGCCGTTCTCCTGCTGGCGTGCGGTGAATCTGAGAAGATGGTGCAGCGGTGCGAGACTGTAGGCGCGCCGTGTGCTGGCCTCCTCCTCCTCCTCCTGCCCCCCCCCTCCCCGGTCTAACGCTCCTCCTGCCGCCGTCTCCACAGTGCAGCTGTCGGGCCCCGGTGTCGGGGCGCAGGCCCCCGGCTCCGCCGTGTGGAAGGCCGGCCCCCTGGAGCCGGGCGGCAGGCAGAGGTCGTCCTCGGACCCCCCCAACATCCAGCCGCCCGTCCCCCCGCTGCGCGTCACCTCCACGGCCCGTGAGTAACCGCCTCGGCCCGGCCCGTTTCACGCCAGCCGCCACAGAAGCCTCCAGGAGCGCGGATGGTCCCGCTCCGCGGGGTCTCCAGTGTGGTCTCTGGTAGTGGTTTAAGAAGTCATTCCTGATCGAGGCGTCTTGTGGCTCGGCTGCGGAAGTCTCCCAAGAAATGAAAGGGCTTGACGGACGCTGATGAAATATTTGTGCTCTCCTCCCACAGCAAGCCGTTCCATGTCTGTATGGGAGCCCGGGTCGTCTTTGCTTGACTTTGAAGGCTGGAGGGTGAAATCGGGTGTCGTAGCGACGAGAGACTAACTTCCTGCCCTCTCTGTGGATCGTCCACATTAAAGATACACTTTGTTTTTAGTTACTCTAGAAGAAAAAAAAAAACACGATGCCGTTTCATTCTCTTGGGAATAGGTTGTTTCTGAGCTGCATGAACCCACGAACCGCACGAGCAGTTCAGTCCATTTTTACCGCCTGGCTTGGCAGAGCCCTCGTTCCGGCCGCCAGAAAGGACCAAAAGCCTTTCGTCAGATTAGCCCCGCTTGTTTCCCCAATAGCCCGGAGGTGTTTGAATAGCAAAGACGACGCAGACGGGATTCACAGTTGCCCTGTGTCGGTCAGGCTGTTGCCCCTCTACCAGCGAAGACGTCCCGTTTCTAAAAGCTCCCCGTTCCATCCCCGCAGTCCTTCCGCCTGCCACCCCGCCGCCCCCTGTTGCCAAGACGGTGAGCGTGATGGAGGCCATGAACCTGCAGTCCAAGCAGGCGGGGCCTCCCCCCGTGCCGCCGGTCAAGCCCCCTCCTCCGCCTCTGCCTCCCCAGCCTCCCGGCAGAGCCCCGCCCAGGTCTCCCAGGTAACCCCGCGCTTCCGCGGAAACCCGCTGCTCGCAGAAGGGCCTTCTGGGATGCGTCGGCCCCAGGATGGCCGGAGGATCCTAGAATCTGAATCTCCATTCAAAAAAACAAACAAACATTTTATGAGCATGTGGATAATTGGATTGACAGTCATCCACTTTATATTCAGTATATAGTGTCCGTGTCCTAGATGGGTGTCCTGTTTAGTAAAGGTTCGTTAATGCCAATTAGTATCCCAAAGTTTGCTTCTGCTTTATTAGCATTTTCCAGAAGTCTGGTTTCCATCTGTAATATATAAATATTACACCCAAAATGCAGAACATTTTAGAATTTTCTTTAAAAAAAAAACAACTTTCTTTGAAGTATGTGAGAACAAGTGAGACTTTACTCAGCATTAGGATAGTCTGTAAGTCTTACAGCTAATGAGGGGAAGCAATTTTTTTTTAAATTACATTCTCTCGTTCTTTTGTCATCCAGCATGGTTTAGTCATTAAATTTGATTTGTATTTTGTGATTTGCAGCTCTGAAAAGACATTTAACAAAGGACTCCGTACAGGGCTGGGATGTGCAGAAAAACAAGGTAAAATATTCTAAACAAAGTCAACTGTGCTACTAAGTCCATAAAGTTGTGCTTCAGGCTTTAAGAATGGGCTTCTCACACGTGTTTTAAAGTATGTGATTTTAGTTTATTCAGGAAATAATGGTTTTAGGGAAGATAATTCACTTGATGCTTTAATTGTTATGCCCCCGCACATAATGTAGTAGTAGTAATAATAATAATAAATTGAGATTCTAAAATGTTGTTCTTTGAGCTCCCTCTTGGCAATCTTATTAGATACGTGTTAGCTCTATAATGATAGCACATGGTTGTTTTACGACCATTTGAAGCATTTACATCCCAACCGACACAGAGAATAGAAAATTCTCAGTGTGACTTTGCTGTGTGTCCTCCTGAGCAGATAAGGACGCGCCTGGATCCTCAGGCTCTTCCCAGAATTCTGTGGGCCAGGTTCCGCCCCCAGCTCCCATGCCCAGGAAGACCTACCTGGTGAGTTCCCGCCTGCTTCAGGGCCCCGTGCACACCTCTGTCCACCGACTGGTTCACTTGCGCCTGCACAGTTCTCTCCACTCTGGTGAAGTAAGGAGGAAAGGGCAAGCTAAGCTTGGCTGAAGTTCCTGCTGTCCACATTTGCGGTGCTCAATAAGTTATTGTTTTAGTCTGTCTAGATATTAGGTTGGTTCCTTTCCTTTACTGGTCTCGGTGAGTGTATGTAAGTGAACGTGGCTTAATTCTGACATCCAGGAATTATTTGATGTCCTCCAGCTATGTCTCAGGCTTTCTGTGGAAGAACCATACTTTGTTTGGCTGGTTCTAGACTCCTTAACATTTTATAGACTTCACATTGTACTTTAAGATACCTGAGCTTTTCCAGTGACAGCCTCTATAGACCATGCTAAAAATACAGCTTATGTTTGTGTTTTTAAGTCTTCCCTCAAAACATATTTTTCTCAGCGGCCTTCAATACGCAATCTATTTTAGATTCTCAAATCTTTTTGTTGTAAATTGTGTTTACAGTGTACTATCTTTTTTGTAAAGGCTTTGAGAATGCTCTGTATTGAAGGGCACTCTATACAAATAAAACTTTGACCTGCACACTTCTTTTCTAGAGATTAGAAAGGGGCTTTCACGATCAAGGCACGCTGTGTAGGAGCTGGGGGTCCCGTGACAGTGCACGAATAGCACAGGCGCACTCTAGCAAAACGTTTTGTACCCACTTTTAAAAATGTCTAAGGGAGGGATTATAGTATTAGAATTATCTCCCTCCCCCTCCTCTTAAATTACGTGCCCGTCTTCTTGCGGCCTCCTGAGATACTCGGGCATCTGGTATCTCAACCTCACTCTCCTAACCCTTCCCGTGCCAGTGACCTGCCAGGCGTTTTCAGAGCGCCGCGATGCAGGCGGCAGAGACGTGAGGCTCAGCAGAGCAGCGTTAAAAGGCCGTTCCATGCCAGAGGGCCTGGTTATTGCAGTGGTTATTATGTGAGCTGTAGCTCGTATAAACACCTAAAAGTTTTAAGTGGCTGAAGTCCCAGGTGATTTATTCCCTCCCTCTGCAGAGTGGGCCCTGCAGAATGCCACACAAACACAGAGCAGGAATGAAATAAATCCCTGCCTGCGCCTCCACTGAGCGCCTCCACTGAGCGCAGCAGAGCAGAGCGCTTTCCAGCCAGGGTTTCAGCATGCTGACCCTCAGTGGACACAGGGTTTGCTGGCAAATGGAGAGATGTTTGGAGGGCAGCTGCAGTGACAGGAAGTCCGACTCCTTCACGAAAAGACGTCGCCGTTTGTGAACGGAGCATGTACCATAGCAATCAGGAGATGATCCTTGGGTAAGCTTTACGGACGCACGGAGGTCCGTCGTCTTGCAGTGTTAATCCTGCTGTCCGAGGCAGTAGCCTCGAAATTTGCTGCAGTGAGTAAAAGCACCTGCGCTCCAGAGGATGAATGGGAAATTGGGCCTGGAGCCAGGAACGACAAAGTGAAACACGGCAGGACAGGATAGGAGATGAAAGCTGAACTCGGAGAGTACAGGAAAGAGCTCTTCTGAATCCAGCGTTTTCCTTTAAAGAGTTTTCCTTTTGAAAAATCTGAATGCTGGAAAAACGGACGTTGTTTAGAATTGAATTCTGCTCAAGATCCTCCGTCTGTCTCCTTGCCATTTGAGAGTACCGAAGGCAAGGGCAAGGCGACACCATGGTAACCACATCTCTGTGGATGTCTTTTAATTGACGACTAATGTGTCTTTGTTCACTTTCCTTGCTAGCATGTGGGTGGAAGTTAATTTTCAATTTCATTTCAGACCTAGAATCCATTTTTTATGAGATTTGTATGGAGACATTGTAACCCTAAAGCAGTTTTAATTTCCTTCCCATACTCTTGAAGAACAGAAGAGTTTATGATGTGCAGAAGAAAAACATTTCCCATATAATTATGATCTTTTGAGGGCTTTATGGTGTTTTAGCATGGGACTGCCGATACTAGATACTTGAAACCATGTTAAAGAAATTAACCGCACAAAATGCAGTTGTGCAGATCTTATAATGATGACTTACTGCAGGACCATGTGAAAAGTCATGTATCTGCTGGTTTCCAGAGTCTCTTTAAAGCACCAGCGCCCACAGAGCTCAGAGAAATGATTAAATTGGTCCCATTCCTTCAATAAACAGCACAGTTGGAATGGAAACTTGCAGACACACTGGATAGATAGCCCTGACCTACCACACATTTTACCTCTTGATCTTCACTGAAATGTAAGCAGGCCACCCCTAGTTACCTGGTACCCCTGCTGACACGACAGAGTTGTGTAAAGTATGGTTCCCAAGAGGCACAATCAGAAAGGTATTTGCCGGGAGCGCGGGTTGATCCCACTGGCTCTGACGTCACTCGTGTCATTAGCTAGCCCAGGATTCAGTAACTTCCAGCAGGTCATTGACGGAGCTCCACTGGGGAAGGTGGGCGATGACAAGGGACATCTTGGGG